TACTCCCTAAGTGCGGCCAAAGGCCGCCTACGCATAAAAGTGTTCTCCGCAAAAGTGGTTCAGCCCTCTTCTTCGGCAGCACAGAAAGGTGAATTCTACTTCGTGAGGGTTATAATCCCTAATCGCGGACGACGGCCGCCTACGTAGAAAGAAGTTCTGTGCCTTTTACCTGGCAACACAGAAAGGAGAATTCTGATTAGTAAAGGTTATACTCCCTAAGCGTGGTCAAAGGCCGCCTACGCAAAAGAATTTTTGCAACATAACATACATCAAGTTAAAGGTATTTTTATGCACTTTTGAAAAATAGTAAGGGTATTCATAAGACCTTATAAATGCATTGTAAACCGTATAAACTTATAATTGTGTAAACCTTATAAATGAACTGTCAAAATTTGTATGGAAACTCGTTTACACATTTCTGATAAATTTCTCCACCGATTTCACTGAATAAACTTGATAAACTAAAGCCAATGGCCCGTAGTCATAGTCAAAATAAAGTCGACTTTAAAGTTAGTTGCAGCTTTTTGACATAATTTTCAATGGGATATCTGTCAAAAAAGCTGCAACTAACTTTAAAGTCGACTTTATTTTGACTATGACTACGGGCCAATGCAACTCTGCCGCAACTCTAGCTATGTTTTCTTAGGCAACAATCGGGATCCGCATAAAAATTTTGCTCGCAAATTCAACAACAACGATATGATCCTGATAGATATCTGGTTCAATTATCATCCGACTTTGTTGCTTTTTCAATTTTTCCTTATAAACAATCGTGGTACAAAGCTCAATGAAAATATTAAAAATAAAAATGTTAATAAGTAATAATAACATTGACAAATACGTTGGCGCATATTCATAGTCATATTTAGTTCACAACTAAGGCTGTGTGTGAGTACGTCTAAATTGCTAAATATGACGAAATTGCAAAAAGTCTCTGTGTGCATGCACAAAACACGTTTCAGGAAAAGAAAAGAAGGGATATTACTGAAAAATGATGTCTAGTATTCTTGCAGCACAGTCTTTATTTTAAAAATTGCAGGTTTTTGTAAATATTTCGCGAAAATATCAACCAGAAAACAGAAAATACCTGCTTCAAGTGAATTTTTAGACGCCAAATGAATTGAAATATCACGACCGAGTGTGCGAAAGTGTAGTCGTTATGTAATCGCTGCATCATGATTGTGACGATAATGCAACTATGATTGGACGACCAATGTGCAGAAAGCCTTAGTTTCGACTTTTCTGGCTAACAGGCTAACCTAATATTCGCGGCTTGCGTTTTGGTACGCATGCCGTCGAATTTGTTTTTTTGCATCACCCGAATTTGACTTGCATGCGTTTGCATTTGATTTCATTGAGCGAAACGTCAAATCAAAATGTCACGCAGAACAAAAATTGGAAATTGAGTTAGCTTCATACGTACGCCGTTCAATTTCGGTTGATCTCATACAAGTTGCATGTGCTTGAGAAATTTTTGACAATAAATTGGCGGCGTGCGTGAATATTAGGTTAGCCTGTAAGTACCATGAACGAAAGACACAAGAGCACGTAAGAACAAGAGAGTGAAAAAAGTCGATTTTTTCTAGCGGGTTCTGCGCCATCTTGTTTCACTGGAAAACGAGCGAAAAGTAAACAAAGCAAAGAAAACAACGAAAACCAAAATTAGCAGTCGTTGTACTTAACCAGAGCTTTTACCTCCGATTAGTGTTAATGAGACATTGAACAACCGGCCCCAAAAGTGTAAAATAGTGGTGCTTGTGATGTAAACAAACGCTCAGCTGACGAACCCGCCTACGCAAACTTTTTTCTCAAAACCAGTTACAAATACAACGTCGCGTTCTTACGTGATCTTGTATTTTTGGTTCATGGCTAAGTACCATGATTCAATAAAACAAGGTTAGTTAATTATTGACAGCCGCGGTTTGACACTCCCTTACAAAAGGTTGCATTTACGAAGGACATATAATTGGGAAGAATGCAATCCCTTGGTAGTAGAAAAGTGCGCAAAGTAGGCAGTTAGTAGTGAAATTTCTTTTGTAAATTCTAATGTATTTGCAGGAAATCTGTCATTTTAAACGAAATATTGAACGAAATATTAATATATTTACATGAATGACGTAATTTATGTGCTATTTAGATGTATAAAAACTCCAAAAGGACTCAAAATTTAAATAAAACTACTATGAGATTTATGTAAACATCCAATTTAAAAACAATTTATGTTTTCACCAGTTAAATGTGCTTCATATGCATATACAAATAAACATATTGCAAAAAAGCTTATACTTCTATTCACGCAAAACTACACTTTTTCCAAGTAAATTTGCAAAGAAGCAACACGGTGCCACTGCTAAGGGAGCGGTGCGAGAGAGACAACTGTCAGTTTATCGAACCTTGTATTATTGAATCATGGCTAAGTACTAACTTAAAATTTAGTTTCGGCGGCAGCTGCAGTTAAGTCGTAACCACAGTATACCAGTAGAAAAGGTTTTTGTTTTTGTAGCTGTTTCGTGGTGAAAGTCCTTTATGGGGGCCAAATTTCCGTACAAGAAATTGAGCGCATGGTTGCTTTTGCATTCCAAAAGAACGAATATTAGAAAACATTGAAAAAAAGTCTGATATAATACAATTATATTCTACTAGAAATAAACTCGATAGTGTGCGCTAATTAGATAATGTGATAATCATGTTTAAAAACTCTTTTCAAGTCTTATTTTTCAGAAAATAAAATTGTGGATCAGATTGCTCTGAGCGCTTGTGTTGTTTACCAAGAAAATGCACCCCTGTTGGTTTTTATTTCTGTATCGCATCGCGGTGAGTTTCTATTTCTTGGTAATTCGGTTTGTGAAATGGTAAACAAATTATTGAAATTTATTTATATGTGTTTAACATTTGATTAATGCAATTTTCTGTCTTTTCAGACTATTAGTTACAAGCACAGCATCATCAACGGTGATTGCAAGAACTACTGCAATCCCTGCGGTTTTTCCTCTTGGTGAATGCGTTCTGGTCGTGACCAAGGGTGGTCTCCCAATCGGCCGGGAATAAGGTTAGTCGTTTTCAATTTTATATCTTTGTTCATCGACATTATATGACATGTCATCATTGCAGGCTATTGTTGCAGAACAAAACGCCACAAACACTGGTGTGGTAAATAAGTTCCAGCAGTACTGCCCACCGCCGTCGTTGTAATGATTTCGATAGCTGAACAAACGCCATCTCCTGGGCATTCCCACATGCCGACAATAGCTGTTATATCACGTGTGAATGCAACTGCGGCTAAATTTGGTTATTAACAGTGCAATAGCGCCATGTCATTGGCAAAAACACTAAGGGCTGCTGGCATATAGAGGTTGTAAAGTTTTTGGAATCGATGAACTTACTCGAAGAAGACGATGGTCGAAAACATATGATGAAACGTCTTCTGGCATGCCTTTGACAATCGTTAAGTCAGACGGAGGCTTCACATGCGATATTTCACACATGCCTGGAATTCGTTAGCGGACAGAGCACACATTTACAAAATATTTATCGTTCTGCAGAACGTGCATGCATATATGCATATTCGATTCCGACTGAAACCTGGTAACTGAGTTGCTATATTGGCACGAACTAAGCAAGGCTGTCATAGGATCCATCGTAGTCCGATTTTTCGTGAAATCTACGAAAATGCTATTAAATTCGAGTAGCTACAAACGCAGTGGTTGCTTTGAATAAACACGTTCATAGCAGTTCAGATTCAGTGATCGCTTTTTTGTAGATTTTATGAAAGATCGGACTACGATGGATTCCGCCACCAATATGTTTTCTCCTTTGACAAGATGTTGGAGAATCGCGGCAGCACAGCCCTATACCTACTCTATGCTCTTACGCGCATATGCTAAATTTCTCGCACCTAGCATAAGTGCTTGACAAAGGCAGAAGGCATATCTTCAACATTATAACTTAAAGTAAGAGTTTAAGGTATGCAATAAAAGAATACAACAGAACCAAAAAATCTCAAAACTATTAAACATAAAAAATTGCACGAATAAAATTCATAATTTAAAACAAAATAAAATATCGCAATTGTTTTTTATATATACATACATATTTACAAAATGAATCTTAAAGCACCCACAGTAAGTCCTAAACATATAAATGACTAATAAGAAAAATAATAAAAACCGGAAATGTGAACAAGTATGTCGAGAAATCTCTAAATAGTAGCGAAACTGTATCTGAATAATAACAAGTAATTTTGAGCAAAAAATACAACCGACTTTAGTGCTCATTTAGGTCGTTCTGGTTACGTAGATCCGACTGTCCTCCCTTTTTTTAAAATCGTTAAAAAAATGAATACGTATTCTACAGAAATCAAGATACATATTTAAGGATTTTAAGTAAAAATAAACAAAGGAAAACTTGTTCGTGATATCTCGACCAAAGTGTATCCATGATACAAAAATCTGAAGATAAAACCGCTGAGAGGCAGCCTAAACATTTTTGAAGTTTGCTAACATTACAAAAATGTTTTCAAATTTCCAATCTCACAAATACATTCTCATTTTCAGTCTCAAATAAATGAAAACTTCAATATTTTCATCTATTTCTTTTTTGTTTTACTTTTATTTGGCATTTGAGTTGCTCTCAAAATTTCAATTTTATAAAATAGACAAACTTCAAAAAATAAATGATGGCCGACGAATTGAGCAAGCGGTTTTACCTTTAAATATTTGTATCATGGGTGTATTAAACAAGGTGTAGTGTCGTGAGATCAAAAGGCGATGAAATATAATAGTGCCGGATGGCCTGGTAACAACTATTTATTTCTGTAGGAAAAAATGTACATGAATTTAATACAACATATAAAATGACCAAATTTA